TGTTAAAAACTAGACTTCAAATACTAATAATCTTTACAAGACACCTTAAAGAGATCCAATTCATAAGTTGGTCCAAATTGAGCCAAAAGCTACTACAACATTCCTATTTTTACTTGTGCAGTACAGAATTTTCAGTCAACTTTGCCAATTTTCTGAAATTTATAGAGATTGACTCAAATTCTAAATTTTGTATCGTAAGAAGCCCTATGAGTTTAGTTTCAAACGCCACAAACGGAACTCAATTCCGACTTTCCTATATGAAGTTATAGCCAATTTCCCAAAGTTGCGCAGAGCCTCATGCGAAAATTTCCAGATTTTCTACCAACTTGAGATTATGAAACTTTTCTTAACTAAATTCACTCCATTGGCTCAAATTCAACCATTAAAACAACCAAGAATCTAAGGCAAGTATGTTCAAATAATAGCTATAAAGACAAGTAAGATTTCGGGGTCTCACACTTTCTCTCCCTTAAAAGAATTTCGGGCGCACAAGTTCGGGGTGTCACTTGAGAGTGATCATAACCAATTTGACACTAATTGTCGGATATACATATCCCAATAATATGATCCCTTTTAATAGAACTATCAAGTCTGTCCTTACTTACGAGTCACAAAATGGAACTCCTCATTCAAACCCAAGAATAGCCATACGTAACACACATAATCATATCCTTACAAGGATTAAACTCCAAACAGGGACAACCATCAAATTTTCAAGTCAGCTATCCACTATAGAAACCCAAGCCAAACATGTATGGAACTAGTCCATGACAACACTCATTAAGCCAATCTTCTCAATCAACCCAATCTCAGGTCAAATACTAGGATCCTCCTAGGCGTTCTTGGTGGCTAAGGACTCGACAAGACCGCTCATGGTTCTTGTTTCCACTGTTTCCGTCCATTCCTACATTACAATCAAGCATCAAGAAGAAACTTAAGCAAATGAAGCAATATTCACCACCTAACACTTCAGGGTTCCACACTTAAATACTCGCACTTAAGCCATCACATCTACACTCACTCAATCCGCCCAGGCCAATTCAAACCTAAGCTCTGATACCGCCTATTACGACCCCACTTCCTCCTAGGGCGTACCCCAGGGTTTAGTGGACTGCCTGTCCAGCTCTCGCCAAGACTCGCTCACTCACTTCAATAAAACGGGTTACAACTTCAAAAGTAAGTAAAGATGTGCCAATCAAACTTAACATATATACAAATATTAATACAGATACACAATCCTCTTACTTCCCTCACTATTCGAACTAGGCGACCATTAGCCTCTTGGGCTTGCTCTCAAAAGTCATTTCTTCGTTCCTGCTCCTCGAGAATAGAAGTCTCGAGCTCCTGAATTCTAGCACCTTGCTCCCCAGCATTACTCTCAGGCGCTCGATCTCAGTTTGGGCCCTACGATTAGTACTGGCCAACATTTCCCTCTCATCCTCTATGGCAAGACCCACCCTATCAGGATATGAGCAGGTCCGCTAGCAATCACAGTGCCTTACCCCACGTCCCAGGGCCCACTGAGGTACCGGGCCTCCTGGATGTTCTTGATAGCTAAGCACCCGCCGAGGTCGTTCGACACTCCCATTCTCGCCATCTCCTTCCATTGCCTACAGCACAAGTAACATTACGGAAATAAGCAATTCAAACAATTGAAACTAAGTTGACCACCTATTCTCTAGGGTTTCACACTTAGACGTTCGTACATAAACCATATCAAGTACAAGTCACTCAATCTGCCCAAACCAATTCAAACCTAGGCTTTGATACCACCTGTAACTACCCCACCTCCCCCTAGAGCGTACCCTAAAGGTTAGCAGACCGCTTGTCCAATTCTTGTCAGGACTCACTCACTCACTCACATTAACTTACGAGATAATGTATAACATCGAAAGTAAAAGAAACAGCAATCCCAAACTGAAAATGTACATCCATACACCCGTCTATCTCAAATGTTCGTACATATCCAAACATAACAAAAGATTCAAGTTCTAGTCACACTTCTAACCCTAATCGAGCACTAGCGTTGGTAAAATTACAAGAGTTAAAAGTTTAGACAAAACCAACTTTTCCTAGTTTCACGCCTATGCTCGCAACTCCTGTAAGGAAAACAAAAGTAATGGAGTGAGCCAAAACTCAGTGAGGTTCCAAATATCATGCAAGAATCAAGTAGCAAGTTGACCATTATGTAAAACTTGCAATATCAAAGTAGCGAGCATAAGAGTTCATAAAAGTGGGCAATAACACTTCAAATAGCAAATCATTAGATGTGAGGACCCGAATTTTACTTACTTTTATCTTATTTTACTAGTTTATTTAATTATTTATTCACCCGTTTTCTCCGAATAATTTATTTCAACCATTTTAAATCCATTTACATGGAACAATGTCTCATTTATATTTTTATAATGTCTTGTTAGTAAATTTAATTTTTCTGCAGCTCGTTTAGTAAGGAATAGCGAATACAAGTCTTTCGAGGCAATGTTTAGTCCGAGAGTGCAATGATCTTGGAGAATTAATTCTAGACTAGTAAGTATGAATAGTTACAATGTTAGAGGAATTACCTTGGAGGATTAGTGTATAAGTGTAACAAACAAGAGAGAAAGTGGTAGTACAAAACCCTATCGAGAACTTAAAGTTAGCTTTTTCCTCATTCTTCCTCCACAAGATTCAAACCACCAACACTCCCTCACCATCTCTCATTTTCGGCCAGCCAAGGGAAGAAAAGGGGAAGAGAAAACTTCATCTTCTAACTCCAAGTTTGCTTGCTTTTCCTCATCTAACTCACAAACCACTTGGAATTTCACTCTAGCTTGAAGAAAGGTGCCATCTTATGGAGTTTCTTGGTGAAATTTTGGAGGAAACTCTCACCTACAACTAAGGTTTAGTTGCTTGGAAGGTAACCCCCTTCATCTCCTTTAAACCTTTCAAATTTTACTAAGATTAGAGCTTGGATTTCATGGGTTTGAAACCCTAATCAAGATAGTAGGCTAGAGGACTTGAGGAAGCTTTTATCTTGCTTTATATTCTAGGGTAGCGGTCTTGAGGTGGCCTATGAGGTAGCTGACTCGACGATATTGCTTGATTTTTGTTGTGTATGTGGATTATAGCTTGATTATGGTTTGATAGTGGAGAGAAATTTGAAGGAAGTCGTGAGAGTGAGCTGGCCGAAATTTCTGTTTTGATATCCTGCTTTAAATTTAAAATTTTGTTGATTATATGGCTGCTAAACTGATTGATATATGTTGTATTATGTGTGTAGAAAGTGTCTTTCAAAAATCATCTCAAATGGTTGCATAAAACTTGAGTTTTGGGAAAGTTCAAAATCTGGAAATTTGTTGTCAGGGCAGCCGGCCACTGGTACTTTGTTTGAACATAACTCTTTGTACAAAAGTTGAAATTGAGTGCCGTTTGCGGCATTCAAAACCAGACATTTAGAGATTTCAAATGGTATAAGAATCCCTTGCTAGTTCATTTTGAGTAAACCATAGCGAATCGGCAAAGTGGACTGTCCTGTTTTGCCTGTCTGTCCGAGAGAAACTAGGAAGATGCATCTTGTTGCTCAATTTTGTCTCACTTGTGAAAATATTTTGAAAATTATGTCTTCTGATGAATTGTAGCATTTTGAACGTATTTTCTAACTCCATAAACTATTCTCAATTTGGACTTGTGTAGAGTTAGATATGGTCTGATTTCAAAACTGTGTTGAAGCTTGGTGACTGGAAATCCTCTGAAGAGATTGCAAAAAAATCAGCCAACTTCAAACTATTATATCTTGTTGCTCAAAACTCCGAATTTAGCTCTGCTTGTTGTGTTTTAAACTTGATTTGGAACTCTTGTTGTGTTTTAAATTTCAGAGGCTGATTCACTTCCTATAAATTTTGCCGAATTTCCAAACATTGCTGAAAAACCAAGACTGGTTCTGTCCTGTCTTCATGAAACTGTGACTTTGAGCTGAAATTTGAATGCTTTCTGGTTGGATTCTTGGAAAAGTATCTTTTGGGAAGTTTTAGTACTTTGAATCTAGTTTCCAACGATATAAAGTTTTCCATTTTTGGACTCAACAAACTCAAGATCTAATTTTCCAAGCTTTGTCGCGTAAAACTGAAAATTCCTGGTTTCATAAGAAATGAACTTTTAAGAACTTCCACTTCCTTTTGAGATTGATAGTTCATTTCAAACTTGATTTCATGGATGATACAAGTTCTTTTGTGACTTTAACACCCTCATTTTTGAGACTCGATTCCTGATGGAATAAACCTTCCTTGATGCATTTTCTTAGTTGTTAACTTTCTTGGTTATTGCGCCTCATATTCATACTTGAGGAATGGACTCCAATTCCTAGTCTTATGCCTTTGATTTTATGAGTTTGAACTTAAAAAATAAAATGGAGCATTTTGACTCAAGCGATTCTTAGAGAATTTCTCCAGTTTTCTACTCAAAACATGAAACGGTTAACTTTGACAATTTCTATGAAATGAGTGGAGTTTTGGATGAGTTTTATCTCTATTAGTTTGAAAAATGTGTGTAGACACCAAAATTTTGGTGTTTTATTATTTATTTATTTATTTACTATTCGTTTTTATTTGTTCTATTTTTATTTTTATTTACTTTTAGTTTTAGTTATTTTATCCATTTTAGCTAGAATTTCTCAAAGGAAAAAGAAAAGTGTTCAAAAAAAATATGTTTTAGTTGTTTAGGATTTAATTTCATTATTGAAAGGAAAAAAGGAAAAATAAAAATGAAGAATGGGAAAAAGAAAAATTGCAACTTCGTTCGTTTGTTTTTGTTTGATATTTTTACTTAATCATCTTGTTGTTTATATTACTTAATTATCTTTTGTTTATTGCTTAATTTTATTACTTAAATTTTAAGTGTTAAAAAAAAAAAGAAGTGATACGCGGCAAAAAGAAGTGTTAAAATGTTCGGGCAGCCCTTGGCTGCAAATATAGGAAAGATGTTTGAGGGTTTTAGGGTTGATAGATGGATATAAATAGCAAAGGAGGAGGCCAGCCGCAAGGGGGGAGGATTGAGGAGAGAGTTACGGGAGAAAGAGTAAACGGCAAAAGAAAACATCATAGAGAGACGGACGGCTGCAAGGATCTGGAGAAAGGAAAGAAATCTGGGAAAAGTCCGAAAGAGAGTTTGGGGTGGCGGCGGAGAGCTTGACAGCCTGGTGAGAGGAAAGGGAAATAGCAAAGAGGGGGCATCGATTGACTGCGGCAAAGATTTGGAAAGGCTAGTGATGGTTGAGAAGTTGGTTGGACGGCTGAAACCAGAAGGAGACCGAAAGAAACCCCAAGCAGCGACTTCATCAGACTCTGCAATCGATTTCTTCATCACCCAAGCTGAAGCTTCAAACCCAAAGGTGGTCAACAGGTAGCTTTCCACCCGTTTCTGTATCTATTTCCATTTCCTATGAAATCTGGTCTGCGTAATTAGAGTTCCTGGAGTCTTGCACTGAGTTCTTGATCGCTAAAGTAAAGCTTGGTGTTTTGGATGATTTTTGCGTGACAGCATGCAGTTTTCTTGTGTTCATTGGGGTTTGCAAGTAAAGTTGTTCCCTTCCTTCGATGTTTTTCTGTGTTTTGAGTATAGCCAGGCCTGATAACGTTTTGTTTTTCTTACCAACCATTTTGTTTCCAAAATCTGAAGCCAACTTTGTCCGTTTTCTTTTGGCATTCCATCTAACACTTTTCGTTTCATGGTTGGGTTTTGATATTTGAGGAAGGTTGGATTTTTATTTCTGTTTTGGTTGAGGAGTGCATTGGTTTGGCCTGGTTTCTCCCAGATCGATCAATGAGTGAGGATTATGTGGGTTGGGGCTGATGAGATAACAAATTGTTAGAGTTTTCATACGGACCTAAATTGCATGGAATGAGCTGCGCAGTTCACAGCAGAATTTCTGCTGCAATTTCATCTTTTCGGCTAGATTGCATTTTCCTTCTTTTTGTCTTTGTTTGTTTTTACCGTAGCTGTGGCTGTTCAGTCTAGGTAATGTCCAGTCTTGTGCTACTTTGGCTGAAATGCCTGAATTGGGATCCAATGCTTGCTGGAAAATGAATGATTGAAGTTGTCAAACCAGTGTTGCACGCATGTTTATTCCAGAAATTTGCATGATATCTTCTTGGGTTTCTTGTTTGTTTGGATTATGATGGTGGTTTAGTTGTGGGCTTGGTCTAAAGTTGTGACGTTGAGTTTAATTACATCTAATCAAGGTTGTGATAAGAATCTGAGTTTATAAGAAAATTGCTGCAAAGTTGTTTGGCCGGAAACATTGTTGAAGCTGAAACCTTTTATTGTTGCTTGCATGTTATTTCAGACCTGAATATAATGTTTTTCTGGGTTGTTTGCTTGCTTGGATCATGGTTGCTCAAGCCAAAGTTGTTTGTTGCTTAATCTTGGTCGAAGTTATGTATTTGAACCAGAAAATTTGAGTTAGTTTGCAAGTAAAATGCAGCAGATTTCACTTTCAGCTATAGCAGTTTTCATTCTTCAATGTTTGAATGATTTCCACCTTTGTCTTTGCTGATTTGGGATGTTAAACTTATGTTTTTACTGTCTAAGTTTAAAGTTTTGGATGTTAGCTTTGGTTAAGGTATGTGATTGGATGTGGAGTTGGCATTTGGGAGTGAAACATGAAGGAAATGCAGCTGAATTGGCGCAGAAATGAAAGGCTTCTACGTGTTTTGCATGCATGGATAATTTCAGAATTGTCTCTTAACCCCCCAAGTCTCCCCTTGTTCTACTATGACCCAGAAATTGGAAGGATTAATCAATTTAGTCCATGAGATTTTGCAGCAATGCTACAAAGACCCGTTTGCTTTTCAATCGTTTGCATTCAAGTTCTAAAGTGTTTGCAATCTGAGCTATTACTTGCTTTTGTCTTTGCCCTTGGACCTTTGAAGTTCCTGAAAAGTGTTTGATTAAGCTTGAGTGCTTTGTTAATATTTGCAATTTGGTCCTTGGAAATTTTAATTTTTCAATTCATTGCTTGTTTTGCTTCAACTAATTACCATGCTTTGTCAATTGCACTTAAGTCATGACTTTGGGGACTTTATGGTCAAGTGAGCTTTGCTTTGCACATTTCTTTTAATTTTTGGCAAATAAATTGGTACCTTGACCATTTCTTTTATTTTGGAGGATAAATAAGTGATTTTACTTCATTGGGGCCCAATTTCAAGGGAGGTACACTCTATCCCTCATTTGCACTACATTTGACCTTACGTGCTCCTACGTGTTATGTGAATATGCATGTCTACGTTGCTTTCCTTACCTCCTTGCGTGCATTTACTTGTTTTTACTTTTATTTAAGTTTTATGGGGTATGTGTACACCTCTTGGCTTGTAATAGATAGGGCTCGGAGAGCATCTGGTCCATTTCCCCTTCCCCTTTATGCTTTTATGGGGTATGTGTACACCTCTTGGCTTGTAATAGATAGTGCTCGGAGAGCATCTGGTCCACTTCCCCTTCCCCTTGGTTGCTTGTTTTTGTTGCTACATGTTTAATTGCTTTATTAGCCTCTGGCATCTAGTCGAGCATGCTAAGTGCTATGTGCTATGTGTTTACGAGTGTTTTGGCATGTCTACTTGCTTTCATAGCCATGAATGAATGGAATGGATGAATGTACGTCACCACACTAGTCCAACGCTAGTTGTGGCTCATTATTTCATTAGGAATTCATAGAAAGGGCTAGTCCAACGCTAGACCCAATAGGATTTTTCCTTTGTTTTTTCATTAATGCATTATTTGCCTGTTCACTACATATCATGCATTTTTTCTTAGTTTTATCATCTGGCATGCTCCTCGATTCCCCTTTCCCCTCACTTTAGGTTTTGCATCTCATACTAGTTATAGGGTTCATTTGCTTGAGAGTCCCCTTCTGATGAGGGGAACGAGCGAGTGTGGCTATTCGATAGCCTTAGCACGCTAGTTTCACCTTCTAATCAAAGGGAAAATCGAAGTCGAAAAGTTAGGAGTCATTCCCATACCCGACCTGATGCATTCCCTTAGGTTCATTCATTCTCGTTTATCACTTACTCATTCTTTTCAATTCACATTTTCCTTTCCTTATTGTTCATTTTGATTTCTACTTCACAAAATTGCACTTAATTACACCTATATGTACTTATCACTATATTTCATACACTTGCACACAAACACTTGGATTTTTCATACAATTCCACACATGCACCCTTTCATACACTTGCACACGAAAACACTTGAATTTGTTTTACAATTTCACACAAGCACCTTTATACAATTTTGCACACTTGCACTTACATTTCTTGCATCTTTCATACACTTTCACACTTGCACGCTTGAGTCTCATTTGCATTAATCGACCTCTATGAGGTGTTCCTCTGTTGGCCGCCACAATTCATGTGGTTTGGGACCAAAGGCCTCACAAGAGACATCGTAGACTCTAGGATTGCATTTTTCTTTCCGTTTTGCATTCATATAGTCATATCCAAACGTGCGAGCATACATTGGGTAGAAAACTAGGAAAGATAAGGTTAAGTCGCGCAACTAGCCTTGGCTAGGTCAAAGGGGTGCCTTGGATTCTATCCTTGCCTTCCCCTTTGTCAAACGTGACCCCCGAACCTTTTTCTTTGGCTTACGTGGACTAGGAGTCGTTTTAAAAAAGGTTTTACTACTTTGCCTTTAAAAACACTTTTTGGGTGACTTGGTACACCCCAAATCTATACCAAGTGGCGACTCCGTTTTCATATTTAAAAACCCTTTTTAAATTGCATTTGGCCAAATCGTCGCTTTCCAAAGTCCCATGGCCTTTTACTTTTCATTTTGCACACGTTCACACCACACTTCACACATCACACACCATTCACATCATCGAAAAGTGGGGCGCGACAGTTGGCGACTCCACTGGGGAGTTCCTAAGTGGGTCCAAGCATTTGACTTGGCCATTCTTTTCCCTTTTCTACCCTTTTTATGCATTGCATTTGGATATTAGGGTTGCATTTTCTATTTTAGGACTTTTTCGCCTCGCGCGCGTATCAAACTATTCCCTCACTCACGTATGTATGATTGGTTGATTGGATGTATGTATCTCGCGCTTGCATTGCATTTGGGGGGGTGTGTGTCACCTTTAGAGCCTCGCGTGGTTCTCACCCCTTTCCCTCAAAATAGGGAGCACTTCATACGTGCACGTTTATTTATTGTTATCCCATTTTATTTTATTTTTCGTGGGCGTTTCCCACACCGCCTTGTAGGATTAGGATCGATTGCCTTGGGTAGGCGGCTGGTGTGCTCTGCGCCCATAGCGCTACCTAAGGGATCACTCGAGCACCGATCAAAGGCCCTGGGAGTGATGACCCTTCGCCTTTAGGTCTGAAGGCTTGGGAGCCGAGACTTATCGAGTCTAGTTGCATTAATGAGCCCCAACCTCATGCATCCATGTTAGAGTTTGCCTAGGTTAGAGTCAACCTCACCTTTTTAAGCACAATTAGGCACGAGGGAAGGGGGTTCCACCCCTTTTATTGGCTTTTATCGTATTTCTTTTCTTAATTGCTCCCAATGTGTTATGTGTACTATCAATTGCACTAACCATTTTTTTTGTTTTCTTGGATTGCATTCATGTGCCTTAGCAATAAGGGGCATCTTTGGCACTCTTTTAGTGACTCACCCACTAGATAGCTCACATGTCTAAATTTCAGTCTTTGCACTTACCTTTCAGTAAATACATTTCATGTTTAGACCCTTTCCCCCCGTTGCATTATTTTGTCCTCTAGGCCATATTTATTGCATATTTACATAGCTTTAATAAACTGGCATCATGCATAAACCCTAGAAAGGGAATGCCATTTAGGGGATCCCGTGTTAGGAATCAACCACCCCATGTCTCGGATATATAATCCAAATGAGACTTGCACGTTTACCTTTCTCGTACCGTCCGAAGGGGTAGTGCACAAGGTAAGGTAAAGATCCGATCATTTTCATGAAGCAATTTTTGGAATATGAGCATCTAATAATCACTTTTTGGCCATTTTCTCAAAATTGGTAAAATTCCCTTGCGTAAAAGGACGTTAATTCGAAGAAAATTCACAAATGATTCCTCATTGTTGAGACGATAAATATAGAGGCCAAATTTTGATTTTAGAAGCACATAGACCAAGGCATTGTAATGATTTCTTGAAACCACCCAGTGGGGCGAATAATTCAATCGATTTTTGAACAAATCATCTATCTTATCCAATCCATTTTTTTTCCAATTCATTCAATTTTAGTTCAATCTAATCATTTTTGAATAAATTCATTTCATCCAATCCATTTGACCAATGTACCCTTTTTAGGGTCATCCGGTCGATTTTTGAATAAATTATCAATTCAATTGACCAAATTACCCTTTTTAGGGTCTTTTGACCAATTTACCCTTTTTAGGGTCATTCGGCCGATTTTTGAATAAATCAAATTCAATTTCATTCATTTGACCAATTTACCCTTTTTAGGGTCATTCGGCCGATTTTTGAATAAATCAAATTCAATTTCATTCATTTGGCCAATTTACCCATTTTTAGGGCGACCGAGCCGATTTTGAATAAATCATGTTTCGTTCAATCTATTTGATCAATTTACCCTTTTTAGGGTGATCTGATTAATTTCGGATAAATTTCATTCAATTCATTTGACCTGTTTCCCTTTTTAGGGTAATTTGGTCAATTTTAAATAAATTGTCAATTTCATTCAACCCATTTGCCCTATTAGGGGTTCATTGTCAAATTCCAAATTGGGAAATCTAGTCAATTCTGAAGAAAACCGTCCATTGCATCCAATCACTTGATCAATTAGGGTTTTGACCCGTAATTCACTGAGAAAATTTGTTAAAACGAATTCCAATCTTTTCGATAGGAAGTTCGTCAAGATCAAACCCGTGCGTTTTTGCAAGTTCTTGTATCGATCAAAAGTGATCCATCCCTTCGGACGATGTCCTCATTTTGACAAACGTCTCTTCCCAATGGGCCAAATTTTTCAAATCATTTTTCACTCAATCAAGTGATCGGATTCATCAGGTATTGTATAGTGTCTGCTCTGGAGGATTGCATTCTCATTCTAGGCCTACCCTTGGCACAAAAAGGGTCCCCCATAGGACATGCATACCGATTTTTTTATTCTTACTTACTGACTCTGGGTATTTTTCTTTTTGTTTTTCCCCTCCCCCTGCATTCATAAAATATTTCAATAAGGTGAAAATATCTTGTCATATCTAATAACAATATTAATCTGATAGGGTTTGAAAATTACAAGTATTACTTGATTCTTGGGCAAGTCTTACAATGTGAATTTGAAAATTCATTTGAAAGCGCTCGTGCAAAGCATCTAAGGGATTTCATGTGCAAAGAAATTTTGTAGAATTTTTCTCGTATGTATTGCTTTTAAAATTTTCAAATATTGGCAATAATGAAGCTTTTGTTCAGCCAATTATTTGTTTTGTGTAATACTCGTGTACATTTCATTCTTTATTGAGCTCATTAAGAGATTTCATGATGAATTGTAAGAAATAAGACCGAATTGAGAGTTTTTCAACCTCCAGCCGGAAAATTCACAAGTGTATGTTTTTTAAAATCCTTACGTACACTTGGTTGGTGATTCGAGCTATACAATAAGAGTGCTCAGAAAGGAAAAGGGTGAGTGATCACTCAAAAGGCCCAATAAGATACCTTTTCTCCCTCATTTAACCCCAAAATAAAATCAGTCACATTGATTGATAAATTGCAAATTGGGACAATCTTTGCTTGGAAAAATCCCCATTGGTTTAACCAGATTCAATTCACATCTAAGTGAAAGCAAAAATG